TCCAGGGATCCATTGCAGAACAATTTTCTTGTGAAGGGACATCAAGTCGTCAAGCTCTTTGGCAAGTTTTATCAGGCTCCACTTCGACCTGAGTGATTGTAATACTGACGCTGCATCAGTAAGGAATACAATTTTTGAGTTTTTAGGTCACTTTTGTATTCTTATTAGTTTCGATGCCTCACAGATAGCTTCTTGCTCTGCCCGATAATTCGATAACAACCTTCTTAATAATATTCTCCGCAGAAAATTGTAAATGGATACCGGCTCCACCGTTCGTAGTGCCATTTCTGGCCAATCCGTGCTTATATACTCGAGTCCACGAGTCTTTCGGGTACTTAGTACTTATATGTTGAAGCGAAACAGATTTCAAGAGTTCCTGGGAAATATTCTGCTTGCTTTAAAATTATTTAAATACAAATGTTCCATTTAATATTTTAATTTTCTATTACCAGTTGTAGTAGAATATAGGTTAGTATACTAGTTCAGTCTGATTAGTTATGAAGCGAACTATTAAGAGCCATTTGCTTCAAAAACGGACAATTGTAAATTTTCATTTTACAAACGGACATATGTATTTCCAAAGATGAATTTGATTAAATTTTCAAATTATAACGATATCAAAACCTTCACAGAATTTATAAACAATGTTTAAGTTCAATTATGAAAAATAAAAAGAATTCGTTTAGATCGAAGCCTTAAAATTTTCACAATCGCAATACTTTCCCTTACTGTATACTTCATATATAGATAAGTGAATGTAAAAAAGAATTATAATGAGAAATCTCTTCATATATCCAGGCCGCTTTCATCTTCCACGCCACTGCTCCATGGATTATAATATTGCGCGTTTCTTAAAATTCATAAGTTCTCCCAAGCATACAGTTGCAACATAAAGTTGGATTTATTTTTTTACATAATCTAACAATATTGCTGATTCATTCAGTTAATTATTTCTTGTGCACTTAAATAAATATTGCGGGCACAAATATTATGTAAATGATTTCTATTTCTATTATCTGAAAAAAATTACTATAAATGGCCCTGTAACTTGGAAATGAGTTTCCTAAGAGGAAACACCCATAGAATCAAAGTTGTAGAGCATAAAATTTTGCTTCTACTAGATTATGTTCCCTGAGATAGTAAATTGTGCGTCAGTTGTCTCGTTTTCTTGTTTGAGTTGGATGTATTTTTCAAAAAATGAGGGAAGATTGGGTTCAGGCTAATAATGCGGATTACGTTTTTGACAGTAGTGTGTACTCAGCGATTAATAGTACCGTCAAAAAGTGGATTGTTTTGCAACAGTTTTGGAACATTGTGTTGTGATCTGTGGTTTTTACCCACTTATTGGAGTTAGAATAGGTTGGGTTTTTTACCCTTGCTCTTTTAGAGCATGGATAAAAAATGCCCCTCCATTTCCCTATTGTTATTTGAATGTTTTATTTTTACTTTTTTCAAAGGTGAAAAAGGTTAGCCAATTTCTAAAACTCTTTAAAATTCGGAGCAAAGTAACTCACTTCAACGAAATCAATATCATCACTCATTCGCTAAGCCTTTTATTATTGCTTCTCTTCATATATCGATCAGTTTGAAGAAATGAAAAAAATCTATTAAAAAAAAAATGTAATGCATTGGCATGTTATTTTTCAAAAATTCTAAAATTATAATTCCATATAAATTTCAAAGCTAAGCCATAATTCTATATTAATGTGAAAAAAGCTAAATTAAATAGGTAATTATTATTATTTTAATAATTTCGATTAAATTTTATTTTGGATTTTTGTAAACATTTCGTCGCAAAAACTTTTTTGTGATATTTGTTCTCCAGTATGTTTAAAAATAAGTTTTTAAATAAAATTACATTTTTTCGAACTAGATGACTTATCAATGCATAAGTCATATGATAAAAAAACATTTAAAATAATTTTTGTAAATTAATATCATAAACGCCAAAAAAACAAAAAATCTTAGGAACGAAAAAGAAAAAAATATTTTATGAGTATACACTCAGTCATTTAAATTTAATTTAATGAACAATATTTCCTACAAAACAACCTTATCTGGCCTTGAGTTATACTTGTAAAACAATACACGTAAATTATTTTAAAGGTTTGATGAAATTTGATTCAATTCTGGCGGACTGGATTAATATTTGAATAAATTAATTCTAATAAAAATAAAGTTTTCGAAAAAAAATTATGCGAGAGACCCAAACAACAAGTCTGGAAACAAAGTCGAACTTTTGTAAATGGTTTTCTACGCTTGTGTGCGCCAAATTTAGGGTCATAGCAATCTCTCGCACTGATTGGGTGGGGTTTTGATCAACAATGGCCTTAACATTGCTAGTTTCAACTTCATGTGGGCGACCAGACCGTTGAGCTTCATTGATGTCAAAATTTCAACAAAATATGCCGATAATGAATGATGTTTTCTTCCATATTCACAGTGCAATAGCAACCACGATACTAAGCTAGTTTCAACAAGAGTTAACAGATATAGTTGTTGACATATTACAAACAGGAAAAACCTTTCACCTTATGGATTAATTTATCAGATAAGAAGTGTATCATAGTGACATAAAAATAAAACCCGAAAGGACTTATTTGCCAACCCAGTACATACAATAAATAGAAATTTAGGAAAAAGATTAGTTTTAAACATTGAAACGTCATTCGCTCACCTTATTCAGACCGAATCTTTCTGTACCAAACAAATTCTAGAAGTACTATCAAACATTACTGTTTTAAGTAATTAATCCCATTATTTAATACTACTTAATTAACTGTTTAAAATCAAGAAAATATCCCTTAATATGCCACAATAAGTAGGATAAAAGTAGGAGCTAAAGGAGCAAGTGTCTTGAAGTTAATTGTTGTATCCTTATCTCATCAGTTCTCTGTAAATTTCGCTAATTCTACATTCTCTGTATTGGTTAGTGTTGCTCAAAATCGGTCTTGGTCTTGCACCTTGCAGGACCAAGACCAATACAGCCTAACTGTTGCAAGACCAAGACCAAGACTGGACATTGAAAGATTTGAGCAAGAGCAAAACACCTGCGAGACTATTGGCTTTAACGTTTTAACCTTGCCTTAAATCTAAACAGCATTATTTTTCTTGCTGAATTTAATATTTGAGTATAGTTCTCCAAATAATAACGAAAACATAGTAATAATAATAACATAATATAATAATGAGATAAATATAAAAAACCCTAACTATAAACATTTAATTGTGTCAACAAAAACTTGTTCTTTATAAGGAATAACAAATTCATTGCTATAATTCATGAATTTGAATCTAACCAACTAAAAAAACTAAGTGAATAAATAATGCAAGAAGGGGATGAATTAGCTAAATAAGATTAGAAAAAAACTCAATCTCAGATAATATATGCAGTGTGACATTGAAATGAGCAGCATGTCTAAAAAAAAATAAGTAATTTTATAGAATAAAATTTGGTTTAAAATATGACGAAATGTATGGTTGTGGATCAACATAGGATATAAAGACGAACGTTGCGATTTTTATTGCATGAAATAGAAAATATAACCAACGTAAATAGTATGTATAATCTTGTAAAGAAATGTTTTTACTTTTATGGTTTGCTTATTGTATTGCTACCAAAAATGAAATAATTGTCAATGAAGATGGGCCATGAGCTTAAAACTTTGATAAGTGGGTTATAAAAAGGAAAAGAAGTAAAATATATACATATATATAATAAACGGAAGAGATACCTTCATTTAAAAAAATACATCGAAAGCCACACTACAAAAATCTATAACGACAATTTCTATAATGGGTGATAAATAGTCAGAACGCTGTCATTGTGAATATTTGTATTTGTGCCAACGTTTCAATCCAAGCATGTGGGTCATCATCAGGGCATATTTCGAGCACTGAAGTTATTCAAGTACTCCAATAACTTAATAATAATTACTCCTTGACTACTTCAATAACTTCAGTGCTAGAAGCATGCTTTGATGAAGACCCACATGCTTGGGTTGAAACTTTGGCACAAATAAAAAATATTCACAATGATTGCATCCGGACTATTTATCACCCATGATATGTAGAACAGTCGTCTAACTTTCTTCAATAAGACAATTTCTATGGAAAATGAGGTTTTGAGCTTTTCTACTCAATCTTGTTCTAGCGCATATTCTGATCTCACAAAATGAAATCTATGATGTTTCATTTCTTCTCTATGGCCTTTTGTAAAAACCTGTAATTTAAAACCAGCAAATTGTGTTGTAAAAACTGTAAGTTACAATGAAGTTCATAGCGATTGTGTGGTTACCGAAAAAACGTAATGAAATGCTCAATGAAAAGTGTTGATGCAAAAATAAATGTATAAGCATTTTGCGTATAGACTATAGTATCAATTAGCTTTATAAATAGACTAAAATTAATTTTTTTTTGGAAAAAAATAAAATGATTTCGCATTCTTGGAGAAACACTATAGCCCAGTAAAATAAAAACATGGATCTCACATCCAAGGTGGGCCAGTTTTATCTGACTTTTTTTTTTTTGCAAATATTATTCGGGCTATTAATATCCATAAATAAAAGAAGCATTAGTCAATAATTCAAATCTGATTGATGTTCCCGGCGGAATTGTAAAACTTTCTAATACCTTTTTTTTTTTTTATCAATTAGCATTGATTGAGATTCTTCTCAAAAACAATAATTATAGGATATTTATTTGGGATACAATTTATTGTTCGACGCAAAAATATTGAGGAATTAATTTAAAATGAAAAAAAATATATTAAAAGTCCCCAAGAAGGGGAAAGAGGTAGGGACTTGTTTCGCTGGTGAGTTGGCAGTATCGTGCTGTTTACAAACCTTACCTTCCCCAATGGAGGGTGCAGTCACATGCTGTCAGTATTATCAGTGAGTTCTGTCACAGCTTGGTCACTTCATTCTCTTATCTGTCCGCTTAGTGTTCAGTAGTTACAGATCCGCAAATATTTGCACCCTAACCACAACCAGCTCACTATTATGCCTGCGGATTTGATTTTTGGTGGAGTCGAAGGGTAAGTCATAAGCTAACAGTATATTCAAATGGTATTATTGCCTCAAATAAAGCCCTGTCTTACTTATTCTGCAGTTAATTGAAGTATTAGTTACAGTACTTAAAACAAAATATTTTAAATAATACAATACATCTTCTTAATAACTTAGAAAACAGATATTCACAAGTCTCTAACTATCATCATTTATTCCTATGACTTCTCTCGATCAATCCTATGATTTCCTCCGTTTTATTTAAAAATAATTATTCATTAAGCTGTAAGTCAAAGGTTATCCCCAAATATTCAAAGAATTCACTTGCACTTTCATACAGAGAGAAAGCGACTTGTATTGTCCCAGTCATCTTTCATACAATTAATGTTTGATATTTATCTTTGACCTAAAATACTAAATATTGCATTTATTAACTAAAAAATCCTTGACCAATTATTGTTTTACTTATTTTAGTTTATATTTGTTTCACATCAAAATAAATTCAATTTATTATTTGGAAGAAACTGTCATAAAGATTATAATTTTATTTCTCTTATATTATTTAATCATATTATGATCTCTGAGTTTTAGTTAAATTATAATTTTTCTTTCATAGATATTTATCAAAATGTTTTAAGAACTTTAAAATATTTTTATTACCTTTGTTTAATGCTATTGTAATACTGAGATATGATCAAATTTTATTGTAATTTTCATAGAGGTTTTATGTTAAAATGATGTAATTATTATTAAAACTAACTAATTAATAAAATTAATTTTAAGGCGAGATTTCTTCTTTTTTTTTTTTAATATCAATCACTGATACTTCTTATGATTCCATAATCGTTTAAAAAAAATAAATAAAATGAGTGAAGTAGAAACAGTAACACCGTGAAAAAAAAAAACTATTCATAGGCTGTTAATATAGATATTAAGAGAAATTGTATTCCAATAGAAAATTTAACAATGTGAATGAAAACTATTTAGTTAAATGAAAGGTAAGTCCCCTATTCAAACATATCAGGTGTTAATTGAAACTTAGGTACATATTTACTTTGACTGAATGTAAACCTTGTATTACTTTATGGTGGTCTTTACGTCATAAGTCGTTATATCATTCTTTTCAACATAGTGCTGGAGTACGAGGAGAAGAATGAAAAAAAAAAGAAGAAAAAAAAAAGAACACTTTCATTTTAAAGAGTGGGCCAAGAAAAAGATTTTCTACGTTGCTCCTGAACAAATCAATCGACACGCTCTCTTGTTGAACGAGTTTGCTTGATCAATGAGGAATATTTTCACAAGTGTGTTTGTTATTTTTCTGGGAGCATATTTTTTAAAATATTACATATTAAAAAAATATATAAAATAAATAAATAAAATTCTTTATTATGTTTTAGGGGTGCCACAGTAAGCACGATTATTTTATTTAATGGTCAAGGTGAACCTCTTGCGGAATGTAGTGGACCAGGAACTAATTATTGGGTAAATTTATAGTTATATTTTTAATTTATATTTATACCGAAATTTAAAATTTTTTAAAATTAATTTGAAGTTTTGAAGCAACAGTTTTGAAGCTCTCCTCATAACAATATTATTTCCCCATAACCAGTTAAAATGTTTCAAGGTTGCTGTTAAATATAGCTTCAAATATCAAGTATTGACCGGAATTTAAAACAACACTTATATAGATTTATCTCTATTGCTAAAAATTAAATTAGATTGAGTAATTTTTCAAAAACAAGCTGATAACTTATTTTGTTTATTAATTTTATTTTTACTAGAAAAATATCGGAATAATTATTTTACAGTGATCATATAAAGTTTAGCTGTTGTTCGATTTTTGCTTCCTGATTGTGCTAGTATATTATTTTAAATGATTCATAATTTCATTTAATAGATTTATTTTTTCAACTAATAATTAACTTATTTTAGAACACTCATTAAAAAATAATAATAACAATAAATAAATCGTATTCTTTGGTTTTATTTACCTATTATTTTTCATTGGAAGTTCTGAGTAAAATATTTACTAATGATTCCCTTGTTAAAATTAATTATTTAAAGCAATAATTATTTTCATTGATAACTTAGCACATCTGACCATGAATTAATATTCACTAGTATTTTTTAACTCCTCTTGTCAAGTTACTATCACTATTTGAGTTATCAATGCTTATCTCATCCACCCACACAAAGAAGTTTGCATTTACGTTTATTGATTACAAAATCAATAAATTTCATAAATTTATTTAACTTTTTAAAGTAAAATTTCACAATCCTATCCTTTTATTTTTTTTAGTTAATATAAATTTAAAGATAAAATTATTAGTGAGAAATCAATTTTGTATTTATTTGATGTTTCAATTTTGGAATAATTTATTTATTAAGTAAATTTATTTTTATTTTTATTAAGTGATTTCTGTTATTAATATTTGAAAAATAATATATTAATTAAACTAAAAATCTAAAATGGAAATTTCTTTAGTGGATCGGGCAAAGGAACTAATATCGCTCGATATCTATTGAAATAGTTAATTATTAAGAGTATTCGGAATTTGTTTTGATTTATTTTTATTTCAATATTGAGTATAAAATTTGAGAAAGGAAAATAGAAAACATTGCCTGGTTGAATTGTATTGATAATTGGCTTGTTCTTGAATTTTATTTATTTTTCCATATTATTTATGTTGATTAATTAATTATTTTAAATCTGCATATAAAAGAACAATAAATCTCTTTCAAGGATATAAAAATATCTAAAAATATTTAGGGTCAATAACATGCAGTTTTTTTTGGTCACTATTGGTTACAACAGTTTTTAGAGATAATTATCTTTTATCTTTGTTTATAAGATATCTTATCCATTAGCAAAATAAATTATTTTTTAGAAACAAATTTTGCAATAAATAAATTGTTTCTGACCTCTTTTCCTTAAATTAGGTTTCTCTATGTCAGTCACCTCCAGTGTTGATTATTTCTTTGATCTTTGTTGATAAATATAAAGTTACTTATATAATTACTAGATGATTTCGATGTATATTACATTGATGATTTATTTTGGAAGTGTTGATCATTGCATTATTTAGTGTGCTTACGTAATAAAGATAAAATTATATATACAATGTATCGAGTTATTGACAAAAAGTAAGAGGATTAAGCTTCATATTATTACTTTAAAAAATATATATCTATATGAACATTGTAGTGTCTCACTTACTTGTAAATTTATCATTATCCATATAATCCATTATTATTGTTCTTTTTTAATTACACAAGCACAGTTGATAAAATGTGTTACAAACTGCATCACTATATTATTATAAGTATATAATAGTTTTATAATTATTTCTAATTATGTTGGATCTTTTGAAAACTATTTTTTGGGTTTCATGTGGTATCTTAACCTTCATATTTTGCAAAGAACCACTCCAGATAACAACTACTTATAGAACAATATAATCTTCACACTTATTATTCCAAGCTCTCGAATTTTTTTTTTTTTACCTCAAGAAATATGATAAAAAAACAGAAGAGTCTTTGGAATGTTATTATTTCAAGGTCTGCCAAATAATTTCAAAACCCACAAAAAATACTTTAAAAATTAAATGTTCCTAATAAATTGGTTATATTAAAAAACTATAGTGAAAAGTATATTATTTTATAGATTTAATAATGTGATAAAGCTCATTTATTGAAATTTTGTATAATTTTTAAATAAATAGGTTGATATTCTCAATCACAGAAGTTATACATTTATTGTATTATACATATTTCAAAAATTTATATTACGTATTGCAGAAAATTATATTATCTTTTAAAACATTTGGTATTTGTTTATACCATCGCAGATTGGTATAATCAATTCGTATTTATATTTTTATCTTTAATATATATACATACTGTGCTTATATACTTATTCTAAAACCTCACATTTTTAAATTTTTTTTTTCATATTCCAAAAACATTACTAAAGCTATCTGCTGATTAAATCAAAAATGGACTTTATTGGAAAATAAGAATAAGTTACTCCATTATTTTAACTATTAATCCTCATTTATTTCGGTTGTCAAAATGTTTAGCCACTTAATTTTGGTATTAAATTATTAACATTTTAGTACAATCCAGTCTTTGTAATTGGTCATTTAATGTTATTTTTTCTCGATACTATAAAAAGTAAACTGCTTATGTATAATTAGAAACAATCTCTTTGTCAGTTTTATTTATTTTTTTTTTATTTAGATGAAAATTTGTTTAGCTGTATAATATAAAATTTTGAATCATTTTATGTATAATTTGAAAGCATTACAATTAATTTCTCTTTCAAGGTTATACATTTGACTAAATATCAATTCATTATTGAATGTAAAACTTTTATTATTTTCATTAAAGATATTTTTTATGAGTTTTTATCATAAGCTTAATTTTGTAATTTACTTGCCTTTAAATTTTAGATTTTGGGAAAAGAAGAGACTTGTCGCAGGATAGCCGACCTTATTGGAGAAGTAATTAAAATTGCTAATCTACCTTCAAATACAAAAATTGAGTGCATGGTAAGTTTATAAAATTTTATCAATTTATCAAAATTTGCCTATTTTTAAAAATATTTTTAAAGAATACAACTTAAAAAACAAAACATGTTTTATATAAAAAATTATGTTTAGTATAATTATTTGTGCGGTACAGTATGTTTATATATTACATTATGTTTATTATATAAGTTCTTATAAATATGTCCATATATTTATATTAAGTACTTATTTAATAATATACTTATTTCTTTAAAATGGTATTTTAAAAAACTTTATGGTAGCTAAGCAAAAAAAAAAGAGACAACATGGCTATTTTTAAAATATCGTCAATCACTGCCCCGACAGCTTGTTTACTGTAAACTTGATAAAACTTGAATTATAAAGCATTTAAAAGTTTCCTCATCACTTTCATCATGGCTATGGCTGCTGAGGATTATTTTTTTCTTGGTATCAAAGTTTATAACACCTGATTTTATATCTTCTCGTAATGATCAAACTACAATAATAAAGTAGTTTCTATTACAGTAATAATTTTAACATTGTTATTGGATATTCTAGTGCCTGAGCTTAAGTGGAGCAGAGGAGAAGTCAGCTAACGAAGCATTAAGGCAAGTTCTCTTAGACAAATACCCTGGTTTATGTGAAAAATATGTCATTTGCAGTGATGCTGTAGCACCCATTGCTGTAGCTCATGAGGACGGTAAGCCATTTAAAATTTTTATACTGATTAAATGAATTTCAATAAAAATAAAATCATATTCTAAACATTACAACAGAATAAAGATATGTTTTTATAAATATTTAATTATAGTTTATAAATTGGATAATTCATGGCATTGAATAATAATAGTTATGAGTAATTTCATATAATATAATTATTTTTTAAATAGTTTATAAAATATATTTATTAGATTTATAGAGAAAATTAATGAACTAAATATAGGATTTGTGATTGAGTAAGCTAGTAATGATGAAGAGGATAAGCAATATCAACAATTAAAGATAAAACACCATTACCTCATTTTACCGGAATATACTTCCATATCATTAGCACTGCTTCAATTATTCAAAATTACTCAGTAATTATGGAAATGTCACTATGATCAGTGATTAAGGAAATGGTGACAATTATTGTCACAATTTTAAATTCATGCAATTTAAGCAATTAAATTCATTTAATTTAAGCAACCTATTTTTTATACTACCAATTTTTGTATAACTGAATATTCTCAAGATCTATGAAAGCTATTAACAAACCTCGATTAGTTTTAAATAAAAAAAAAATGCATTAGTTGTCTATAAAAAAATGTTAAAAATACATATATAAAAAAAAATAGGATGCACATATATGAAATTAGAATACATGGAGACTTTAAATCCTAATAAACATATCTCAACAAAGTTTGCAAATTTAAAACAAAGATTTTTAATTGTATTATTATTACATGATTATATCGTCTTAAAAACACACTACTCTAATGAATAAACAATATTTTTTTCATTATAAGTTATCAAAGAAAAAAGAATCGGATCATCATAGTTATTTTAAAATTGAAAAAAAAAAAAATGGTCAAAATAGACAAATTATATCTTGTTAGCAATTTTTTTCTCCTCAAGAAATGTTATCATAAGAGGTTAATAAAAAAAAATTTCTTAGCATAACTTCAGTCTGATAAAAGACTGATAACTCTTGAAAGGGGCCAGACTGCTCAAAAGCTAACATGTGAAACTGATAATATAAACATAGTCCTTATGAATAATATTATATACTTTTTTTCACAAATATATTACATTACAATAATTTTTGTAATATAATAACTATTATTTGACCCTGAAGATACTCTCAGATTTTAATAATCCAGTAATTTATTCCTTGTTATAAGTTTTTATTGAAATATTAAAAAATAATCTAGCTATTAACTTAAGTATATTATTTCATTTGATTCTTTGATATTTTTAGGTTTTCTAAAATTAAATAGTGGTCAAAGACTGCATTTTTGTTTATGGAAATATAATAAATATTACATAAAAATGAATTAAAGTATACGTTAACATAGGCTAAATATACAATTAATATTTATGAAATGTTATGATTAAAAAGCTGTTAAAGATGAAGGCATAAATTTAAGTTTAATAAAGATTAAAGTAAATTTTAACTTGGGTTCTTTACATTTAATATTATTTTCATAACATTTTTTGAAGTGAAACTTCTATATTCATTCTAGAGTAATGGAGACATAGCATAGCAACATATGTAATTATAATTTAAATATTTAATTTAATGGCAAGTAATTATAATGGCCTTAGTGTTCGGGATCTGTTGCAGATAGACATTTTATTCTATTACCCCTATTGATTTAAATAGCAGTTGCCAAGAGTATGTTTATAAAGTGCATAAAGAATTGATATATTCATAGTGATGGATTGTATTAAAATAATATTTTCCATATATAAATTAAAATTAATATGTAACCATTAGAAGTGCTGTAAGTTGAAGTTTAAATTTAATAGTATTTATTGATGATATAATGCGCATTGGGAAACAGAAATTCACACAGTTATGAATGTGCATAGAGCATTCATTAATTTAGTTGATCATTACTATTTTAACGTTTTATGAGGACATCAGGGTTGGCCAAGTTCACTTATAATAACTATGATTAATGTTCAATATATATAAATGTATTAGTGTTTGTTGCTCACTGTCTATTATCAATGTATATTATTAAATTATAGTATTACTTTATTTATTTCTAGTTTGATTGAAAATATCTCCACAATATCAAAATGTTTCACTTTAACCAGATGTAAAGTTACATGCACTAATTTTTTTAAAAAATATCTTAAAATTTCTTTGTAGATTTATTTATGAATTATATAAACATATAAAATTAACAACTGAACTGAAATATTCCTTATCACTTTACTTTTCCTTATTTTTTTTTTTATATCTCGCACAATGGTCTGTATAAATGCGTTTATGTATGTGAACATTTATTAATTTATATTATATTCTATATGAGGCAGTGACTATTTTGACTTTTATTGATGATAATTATTTGGTTTATCGATTGTATTCTGTCACAGGTGGTGTTGTCCTGATAGCAGGCACTGGCTCTAATTCTCTTCTCATCAACCCCGACGGCTCTAAAGTCCGCTGCGGGGGCTGGGGTCACATATTAGGAGATGAAGGATCAGGTATTTTGGATATATTTATTTTTAATGTAACATTTGTCAGATGTTCAGCTACAAAGAGCTTATATCACTTGCTTAGAAGAAGAAAGGAACAACTTCAAAATTTCCAACTTTTACATAGTCATAATGAGTTTCATTGACTGACCTCATCCAAATCTGAACATAATCTACTTTTTATCCTTCACTTCTACTGATAGCATTTTATTATGGTTTAATTAATATGAAGACGTCCTTCATCTTTATTATTAAGGTAAAGGAATAAAAGTGAATTTTTAAATTATTTTTATAATCAGATATACCTGATCATGGAAGAAAAATTCAAAAATCTATCATAATCATATTTGCTGACAACAGAAGTGTGCCATTCTTATATTATTTGACCGTTTAGAGTTTCTGAATCTTAAAAAAAGTATAAACTTTTTTAGGAAAAATTGGTCTCAAATATTAGTATAGATTTCTTAGATAACAAACTGGAGCTTTGATTCACAGTTTTCTTAAAATCATTTTTCTTTTTAATTGTTTTTTTAAATCATAACTTAATTAATATGGATTTAAAACTTATTAAAAAGGATTTTTTCTTGAAACAATTTAAATAAACAAACTTGGAAAGATATAATGGCTATGAATATAATAAAGATAATAGTAAACCATAAATATTTTAAGTCAACATGAGAAAAATTAAAAAAAAAAGTATGATTTTTAGAAAAACAACTAAAATCCTCCTTTTCTCTAAATATTATAATAAAAATACTGATATGATCAATTGTTAGTAGGAACAATTAAAATAAATAATATTAAATTTATACGAATAATAGTAACATTCATTACTTTTTTATACTAAATCGCTATTACTGATATAACCAAATTTTGGACACATATGAAACCTTAACCCTAAATAAAAGCTTTGAAACTATTTGTTTTGCAATTATCATCCGTTATGTTAATTGAACAATGTTAAGTAAATTAATGGTAACTTAATGCATAATTTTTGTGACAGCATGTTCTGGAAAAAAAAATGTATAATCTGCAGTCAGCTCGTTCATGCCCCGAAATTACACATGGACTGATAGCTGGCACCACAAACAGATTTTTTAAAACCATTTTCCGCCATATTAAATGAACAGTTAATTAAGAAACTGCTAGTAACATTCATTAGAACGTTTTTAACCAAATTTTGGGGACAAACCAATGTTCCTACTTTACAATTAATGTATTTGTGACAGCTATAAAAAGTATCTATAATTCAAAATACCATTAGTGAAATTCCCTATGATTGAAAATTAATGGATACAGATTATGTCATATCAATGCTAAATTGAAGAATTTAGCATCCTCACCTTGGGGACAGTAACAGTCGTTACATTTTTTTACATTCACATTGAGATATTTCTTCTTGTGATTGAAGTAGATTAATTTTAATGTCACCATTCCATTCCTTAGAAACAATACAAACAAATATTAACATTACTTTTTTTTTCAATCTGGACAAAACATGTGAAAAACGAATGTAAAGCTCGGAGACATCAAAATGGTCAAATAATAAAAATAAAAATAATCCAGTTACTTTTCGATTACAAAATATCACATCGGGTTTTTACACAATTTGAGATGAATGACCTCTTTTGTCCCAAATCTCAACTTAAAGCTTATTAAAGGAAGTTTTTCTAAAAGTAGAGAAGCTGTTGTCTAACTGGAGAGTCTAAAAAAAAAAATCGTGAATAATCCACAATTTTATGAAAAAAGAACTTAAGGTACTTTAGCCTATCGAAAGTCCTGTGCTTTCAATTAGGGCTAACTTTATTTATATCTGATATAAGTTATGTCTAGTTTACCAAAAAATTATTTTTAACTACCAAAATTAAATATTTTTCACTTATTGCTTCCTATTCAACTAAAAATGTGATTTACTTAAAAAAACAAACAATTAATGGTTTTGTATTGTGTGTCTTACTTCTTTGCTCGTCTTAAGAAACATATCTTTGTTTTATTAATTATGTTTCCTTAAATAATTGATTTTTGATCTCCTAATCTGATGATGTGTCAGCAACACAAGTTTGAGATTAAATATTTAAAAATATTATTTTTAATTCAGAATTGTTTAATAATTCTGGTCTGGTAGCAAAGAAAAGAACTATTCCTTAAATTAAACATATTGCATATCAAAACTAAATATGTAAAAGTTGTATTTAATGAAATAAATATTTTTAAAATAATCTCAAGATTTATGTATTTTACAGCTTATTGGATAAGCCAGAAAGCAATAAAAGTGTACTACGATGACGTAGACCAGCTGTCACTTGCTCCGAATGGATTCAGTACTCAAGTTGTCTGGGAAACGATCAAGTCGTTATACCAAGTTGAGAATAGGTGATTGCTTTTTAAATTCATTTTTGCTGCTAGTAATTTATTCCTTTTGTAAATTTGAGGTTATATTATCACAAATAAAGATGTAAATAAATCGTACAACAAATTATTGTAAAAGTAATTTGTGCCATACTGAAAGAATGAATATCAAAGTAGTTGGCTGAGTCATATATGGAAAGATTGCGTTAGGTCTAATATTTTAAATTAAAACTTTTGATTTTCTTTGGAGAGGTAGTATACAGACAACAATTTTGGGGGAAATTAATGTTAAACCTTTAATGAGATAGATGGTTTGTTGACTTTGTACCTATTAATATCTACATATTATCATATGTAAACAATGTTATGTCCATGATATATGATATGTATCATACGAATTCGTAGAAAAGTACTTTTTTAAAAAAGATTTGTCCAGTCATATAGGGCAGGTTTGTGTACCTTTGATCAGTTTTTTTCAATGCTCCATAACTTCTAAAATATCTATGATTTTTAAAAGTTCATGTTTTTAAAAATTATACCATATTAATTTTTAAATTATTTTGTCATAAGATTTAGTCTATAAAAATCAAAATTACTTTTATAAATAATAAATGATGAGGCACAAGGTACAATTATATGGTTTTACCTTGGGCCACCTTATATTGTACCGTGGGCTATATTTGTTATACTAGGAATTATAATTATTATTGAATATTGAATATCACTAAAATCATTGTGAAACTGCATTTAATGATAGGTTTAATAAATCATAATAAAAAATTAAAAAATTTGACTCACTGACTGCTCATAAAAGAATCATGAAATGAATATCCACCACGTCTCCTTTTTAATATTGGTGAAAAAAAAACAAATAATGCCTTTGTCTTGTACTTAACACTCAAGTTTGTTCTCACAGAAGACATATTTTGAAATTATAACCTAATGTTTACAGTAATTTCTGAATTGTTCCTAGTATATTAATGTACATTTTATTGAATTTATGTTATATTAATTATTTATATTATGGGTGTATTTTATTTCATCTATCCACATCCATAGAACTACAGTATTTAACTTGTCCTTTATTAAAGGAAGGAGATGGTCCGGGGTTGCAGTCATAAAAAGGCTAAATAGTGGTAAAACTATTTAGCCTTTTTATGACCGCAACCCCGGACCATCTCCTTCCTTTATAATGCAACGGTCAACTATTAAATACTCAATTGTCCTTTATTACTTTATCACATCGTCTATAATAACTTTTGAACAACATATCTATCTTTCTCTTTCTATAAGTGCGATATAAATAATTTTTCTCTTGTAAGATGCTATGTACAAGTTTCCCTTGTTTTCAATTTTTTATTTACTTTTTTATTTTTTTTTATTGAGGATCAATATCATTTCCAAGACCACGTAGTTTAGCTCTAAAACTCCCATTCCTCATGAGAAATTGTGAAACCCAATATTCCGGAATCCATTTTTAATCCATGCTTGTAACTGAGATTGGAGGGTGGGAAAGTATTTTGTTATAAGGTACTTCCTTTCAGAGTTGACACCCACCATCTGTTCCGCTCTTCAATTGTTTCCTCCTGGATTATCTTTTTCCATTTATTAGGGTTTTTAATAATCCTCATCTGTAGGTTCTCCGAAAGACCTGTTGAGCCCTCCCTCTCGTAATTATGCCTGGTTACTTCTTCTCGCAGGAGGAGGTTAAGAGGCACCACACCCACTAGGACATGCACTGCTTCTTGCGACATAGACCTATATGCTCTGCCACCACAGCAGCTAGGTCTTCAATGTAGGCAATGGCAGAAAACCACTCTTCCTCTAACACTTTTTATAAAATTTGTATTTTATATTAGAAATTATTATACATATCATTTGTGAATGTAATCATTTGCTTACCATCAACAGACTTGATCTGCTGAAGCACCTGTACAAAGAAATGCAAAAGTCTCACATAGCCAAACTGTGCAAAGAGCTGGCAGAGAAAGCTCAGGAGGGAGATCCGCTGTGCAAATGGCTGTTCGAGGAAGCTGGTAAAGAATTGGCAAAACATGTGCAAGCAGTGAGCAAGGGTGCCGACAAGGTGAGCTGTAGCGTGAGGTTGTGATGACCGAGCTTGTTAAAGCTTACACTTTCATATTCTAGAGTCTAGTGACACCAGTTCAAATCCAGTCTGGGCGGGTTGTAATTTATTTTGTGGCAGACGCATGGAATGAATCTCGACCTTCCCACTTTGCTTAGAATATGTTTGTTTGTGCCTCTGAAAAAATATCCTTATGCCAAAAATCGTGAGATAGGGGTAATATAAAAAATAAAATAATAAAAAGTTTGTTATAGTGTAGGAATTAACTGTAACATGATCAAGCCAGAAATCTTTAAAAAAATATAAATACTTTTTTGCCTTTGCCTTTTAATATTATCCTAAATCCGATGTATTTCTCCCTAACAAATTATTTTTTGCTTTGTTTCAAAATAATTTAAACAATCACCAGGAGCTTTATAATATTTTAAGAAAGATATTCCAAAAAAGAAAATAGTTATCTAGTAAGTTTATGCATGTCAGAAACAGTCAATAAAGCTATATATAAATATATATATATTCATATATACAGTGTGTCTCATTAGTAGAGGGAAATATTTAAAAGATTGATAATAGACATAAAGATTTACAAAAAAGTTCATATAAACAATTGCCCAATTTCCAGCAGAAAAGTAGAAAATTTAGAATTTGTGTTTTTTTAAGCGTCATGTTTTTTTTTAATAGGAAGTGATAATTAACTAAAATATTTGGTTCAAGTAATTAAACATTGCTTTTAAATAAACTAGACAAAATTTACTTTAAATGAAAGTACAGTTTGTCATTGTTAAAACTATTTGAAGAGGATTATTGAGTGGGCAACTAAGTTCCGTTTAAAAAAAAAAAGTCATAAATTATTTGTGATTTATTTTTTTATCACACTTTAACTGTACCTCATTTATCCCACTTTTAAAAAAACTCCCTCGTCTAATAAGCTTTAAGTTCATATTAATTAAGTTGAGGTTTATTAGGACAAATTTTGAGATTCATTTCAAGTTTTGTAAAGAAATGATGTGACTTTCTACCCAGTCACCTAAAAGTACCTCTGTTTTCTGCAAAAATGGTTACAATTAACTGTTAAAAAACTTTTATTTATTTATTTCTGTGTTATGGGATGTATTGCAAAAAATATAATTTCCTAAAAACACATTTTATTTATAAAAATAAATAATTTAATAATAATGAATTTTCAAATATGAGCTTACTCAAGTTTATAGACAAAACACTCACCTAACTATATACCAATTTTCTACTAAACATATCAAACTTTTAATTGGCATTTGAAATAAAAAATTATCCCAACTATGGTAACATTGTAATTAACTATTAATCTATACTAGAGATGAAATTTATGAATGTCTTGCAAAAAATTCAGAGATATTGCACACAGGAATCGGTGGTCGTAGATTCCTCAACTGTGATGTAGATTTAATATTACAATGCTAACCTGATAAAATAATATTTCAGAAGCTGCTGTCATTACCAGGGGGACTGCCAGTGGTGTGTGTAGGCTCCGTTTGGAAGAGTTGGTCCCTGATGAAGGCTGGGTTCATGCGGCAGATCAGGGAGCATCCAGTTCCGACACTGCAGGAGGCCTCACTGATTGCGCTGAAAACCAATGTTGCCAAAGGGGCAGCTTACATCGCCGCAAAGGCAGTTGGCCATTCAATGCCTCGTGATCACACCCAGAACTATAGGGTCTTCTTTCATTTTGACTTGAATGAAGAAGGAGATGCCTGAAATTCATGGCATTTACGGTCCTATCAATGCATTCTTTTGACTGCGTTTTATCTTTACACTGTGTGTATATTTTTTTAATGAATTCATATCATCATCTGTAACTCTGAACATTATTTGAATACTTATTGAATATAATTTTTTATATATATGTAACTTTATTATAAACAGAACCTTCCAGTATTAGACTGGTTTGACTTAATAGCTTGGAAGTGTATAATAATAGCATTGTGATGATATGTTAATCGATTTTATCATTGAATCTAATTCATTAAATCAATGGATGGTTCAAAAGAAAAAATAATTCAGTATTACAAGTCTAAATTAATATTCTATGTTGATACTTTTATAATTATTTAGATAAAGGAAATTGTTAGGTATTTATTGTTATCTATTTCTAAAATGTTAACTGAAACATAATAACTCAGATATGGATAGATTGTTTCTCATTTTTACTTACCTAAACATGAAATATATAGTTAGGAAATACATATTTTAAGGGTCTCAGGTTCCAAAAAAAGAAGGAAAAATGGTCTGTGTGTGCTAATATGTGTGCATGTGGGCGAAATGGTCTGGGTGAAAAGCCTACCTCAAAATTGAAAAGCCATACAAAACCAAAATTACATATTTAAGGTAGGTTTATGCCTGGGAGGTTTCAGCAACTTTTTTGCCAAAATCGACTAACCACAAGTGGCAATTAAATATCTTATACCAATGTAAAACCAAGTGGCATTTAATATCAGACAGGTGGCATCTTCATTGAAATAGTCTAATTGAGCTTAAATGCCAAATTTTCTTCCTCTTATATATCTTTAATTTTGTTTATTTAAAATAATTAACCATTTCACATTGTAACTTGTAATAGACAAAACATAAACCATGAACTTAATAATTAACTAAAGGAAAAATAAGGGTTATTCATAGATAGAATCTATTGAATTGGAAACAACCAAAAGCCTCCGGACAACTTACCAATTCTCCTCTATTTAAACTACTCATGACTTCTATATTATTATAATATATATATCTACTAATATTAATCCTTTTTTAAAAATGTGTTTTGTGGTAGATGTTTTGAATAAAATTAAGAATTTTTACAAAAGATCTAATTTCACATTTTATTAATTTAAGCATCTTTTAAATTTATATAGTTACGAGCAATTTTTTTAAATATTAATCTATATTTCCTTTAATATTTTGAACTCAGCCACAGTTGTTTGTATGAATTTTCCTCATTCCTTCCAATCTGCCTCACTTTGCTCTTTGCTGCATTGATTTCAATTTCCTTTCAAAGTAGTTCCTCTATCATTCTACCACTGTATTATGTAAGTTTCCTTTTGAATCTTTAATAAGGACGACATTGTCTACAAAGAAGTATTTTACTGACTAACTATTTGAGTTTTTCATAGAAATATTTCAAATACTAAATACTTTGGAATAATTATATTCTATAATGAAGGACATAACTTAAAGTACCTACTAAATTTCATAATAAAATAAATTAGAAATATTGTTTGTATGTTATAAATAAAATACAAATCTGTATTTTTGTATTTATAAAAAAAAATATTTATGAAAAATATGCTTTTATTTTACTTTTTAAGTTTAAAATGTTTTTATTAATAAAAAACTATAGTTAAATGGAAGTTTCAAGTGCAACCATATTGCAGAATGAGAGGAAAACTAGAAGCATATAACTTTGAACTGTGATTGGGGCAGAGGATGCCATCTTAGCTTGTTAGATCTGGGCGCCAGTTACCTTTCTATGCTTATGCTTAAACCAAAATGTCACCAGTAAGTTTGTTACTAACAAAATTGAGTCTAACGGTACAAGTTCGAATCAGTCCTGAGCAGGTTAAAATTTATTTTGTTGCGAACCCACGGAATGAACCTCAACCTTCCCATTATAGTTAGAATAGGTTGTTTTGTCTGCAGAATAACCATTTCTTATGCCATAAATAGCCAGGTAGGAGTAAAAGATAAAAAATATTTTAATTAAATTTAGATCTTAGTTAACACAAGAAATTAGCAAAATATTATTAATACTTACTTACTTAATCCAGTCCTCTGTCACTGCTGAGCAGTGTGAGGTTCCTTCTTATAGAGCCTGATCCAAGAATCTCTATCCTGGGCCAGCTGTCTTCTCCTACTCCAGTCCATTCCTCTCCTGTCAAAGGCTTCTTTAACTCCTTCTTCCCATCTTTTTCTTGGTCTTCCCTGTGGCCTCCTTCCCTCCACTTTGACCTCATAGGTAGCCCTGGCAATTCTGTTTTCAGCCATTCTCGAGATATGTCCAAACCACTTAAGTTGGTTTTCTTGGATTATCTCCTCTCCAGGCCTCAGGTCCAGATTCCCTCGTATGGTCACATTCCTAACGCGATCTCTTCTTGTTTTCCCCTCTATTTTCCTTAAATAGCGCATTTCCATAGCTTAGATTTGGCTTTTGTGCTTGGCAGTGAGGGTCCAAGACTCGCTTGCATATGTCAATATAGGGAGGAAAGTATTCTTGAAGACAATCTTCTTAGTGGTCTTTGAGACTTCCTTTTTGTCCAAGAAGCCTGACTTGAGGGAGTAGAAGCATCTTCCTGCCGTCTTGATTCTCTCTTTAATGTCTCCATCAACCCATCCGAACTCGTTAAGGTGAGCGCCCAGGTATTTAAAATCCTTAACTTCTTCCAGGCGGATTCCATCCAGCCAAACAATCCGGTCTCCTCGGTCCCTTCTTCTCCCAATCCTCATAAATTTTGTTTTCGAGATGTTAATTTCCATGTTTATATTTTTCATCTCAGCTTGAAGGATCTTGAGGTTAAACTGCAGATTACGGCAGTCATTTCCGAACACCACCATATCGTCAGCAAAAGCAAGCACTGTATACTGGACGCTCTGTAGGTTCCTATATCCGAAGTTGTATGGCCTCATTTTCTGTTTTGCTTGTTTTAGGGCACTAGTATAAACAAGAGGGGGCTAAGGCTGCATCCCTGTTTGATTCCTTGATCTGTTGAGAATTCTTTTGATGTATGGTTGCACATCCTAACTACATTTCTCTGTGTTTCATATATTCATATATACTTAAGATGGCTTTTCTCAATCCTATATGAAAGCCACACTCCTCCAATGCTCTTGATATGTCTGCCTTCTGCACCGTGTCAAATGCTTTATTTAGGTCTACAAAACAGGCGAAGACCTCTCTGCTCTTTTCTATAATCTTCTCGGATATTTGTCTCATCGTGAATAGCAGGTCCTGTGTACTTCTGTTAGGCCGGAAGCCATATTGTTCTTCCCCTATCTTTTGTTCTATGGGGCTTCTCAGCTGCTTTTCGAGCACCTTACAATAAACTTTGTAGGGGATGCAGAGTAGGGATATGCCTCAATGGTTCCGACATTCACGATTATCTCCTTTCTTGAAAATCGGGATTATGATGGAGACTTCCCAGTCCTTTGGGATAACTTTATTTTTCCAAACTACGTTAAGGAGGTGCTGTAACAGTTCAATTCCTTTTAAATCCATACATTTCAACATTTCTGGCGCGATGCCGTCTATACCAGCCGCTTTTCCCAGCTTTAATGAGTTTATGGCCTCGGCAATTTCTTCTTCTCCAATGAAATCATCTTCTTCCCAGGTTTCTTCTGTGCTCCCAGACTGTTGTTTCGCTTCCATTTCCTGCTCTTGATATGTGAGTAATTCCTTAAAATATTCTGCCCATCTATCCATAATGTTTTCTGGCCTACTCAGGATGTCTCCATTTTTGTCCTCGATGTGTTTCAGCATTGGTTCCTTCTGCTTCCTCATGCTAATGAGGCTTCAGTAGAAAAGTTTCTGGTTTTCCTTATAATTACTTTCCATCTTTTTTCCAAATTCTTCCCAGGACTTTTTCTTTCCTCTCATCACGACCTCTCTCACTTTCAGTCTTTGCTCCTTGTATGCGGAGTATGCCGCATCTGACTTGGTTTGCAGGTATCTCTTCCATAGGGTTTTCTTCCGTTTGATTTCCTCTTTAATTTCCTCATTCCACCAAGCAGTTTTCTTTGATTTATGCCCCAGCTTGCTTTTTCCACATGTCATCTCCACTGCCTCCAGTATTATTATCTTGATTGCTGACCAAGATTCTTCTACGTTGTCATTGTCCCAATTGTATCTTCCACTATTTGCCTTTTCTTCAATCGAGTCCTGATATGCCCGTATCACCTCTGGCTCCCTGAGTTTGAAATATTTTATTTTGAACTTATTTGTCCTGTTTGACGTTCCTGGTGTGGTTGCGCGATTATTGAGTACTATATCCATTATAAGTAGCCGATGGTCGCTACCTATTTCGTAGCCTTTTTTGACTCTTATGTCTACTACGTGTTTTCTTTGTTCTCGTTGTATTAGGTAATCGTTGATAATAGACCTGTCATTTCGACTTGGCTCCTCTCTTGTATATTTGTGAATCTTTTTGTGTGGGAAGAAGCTGTTTCCAACTATCATATCATTTGCAAGACAAAAGTTAAGAATTCTTTTGCCGTTGTCGTTGCAACTTTCCTCACCATCTGGTCCCAATGTGCCACCCCATTTGGTTGAGTCCTTCCCTATTCTTCCATTCAGGTCTCCCATAATTATTGGTATGCCTTTGCATAAATTGATCTCACGTTGTACAGAGTCGAAAATTGCTTCCTTTTCAAGACATATTATTAATAGTGCTATTAATCATGTCTCTAACAAAAATGTTACCAGTAGCATTGTTATTAACTACTTTTATTTGCGAATTATTAAAATTTTCAACAAATTTGTTTCAGTAAAATTTAATATTTTAAAAGTTATCGACATTTTGTACTGCAAGTCTTTGAAATATGTTAGTGGCATGTTACTAATTTGTATTGTTAAAAATGAACAAGTTCACAAATTTGTTTTTATTCAACATTAATTAATACATTTTTGCGTGCAAGCTCTCTGATTACTATCTTGTTTGTGATAAATTTAGATTTATATACTGTTCACTGAGTTGAATAAAATAATTTATTAAAAT